AATTACCTTTGATGCTATTGAATACATTGAAGCGCCTTTCCTCATTTTTGACAGCTTTCAATTGTCATTTTTAATTTCCTGTGTTAGAAGGAAATATTATGGTAAACGCTGCTTATAGGCATTAGAGGTATTGAAAATAGATCCCAAATGTCTGTGAAAAACTGGAAAAGAAAAGTGTGTGATTTGGAAATAAAATCAAAGAGCGGGTCACAACTGCACCGTCTATTGTTCTTTTAATATTAACAGAGAGATCTAAAATAAGAAAATTACTAGATGGAACAGAACATAACCAACAGACTAAAAAGAGACTCTGTCATGCATATTTTCAGATTAAAATGTCAAGGATGACATTATTTTCTTAACTTTTAAAAATGGAGCATGACAGAAAGCAGGCAGATGGTAATTATGTGTAGTGTAAATCAATAAATGTAGTTCCCCAATATGAATAGATACAAACACTTGCACAGCTTTTATCTATAGACCATTTCAATGTGCTGATGTCATTGGCCCAAGAACATTTCCTGCTTGTTATCAAACTATTTCATAACTGAAACAAGAGGCAATTTAATAATAACTTAATATTAAAACAGCAATTATAACATTATTTATCAATACGTGTCACTTTTTGTATTCTCGGATGCTATAGAAATTAAAAATGTAAAACAGAAAAGACATTGGGACCATTGTTTTTGTTTACACCCCTAAAAATAGTCTATGGCAAACAGAGCTTTCCGAGCACACTTAATAATTAAACTGGGGTGCAAATTCCAACACTTAATCACATTGACAAAAGTGAGTGAGACATGCAATGCTCTAGCAATTTCAGAAGAAAATCTACAGCCACGCTTCTGGTTTAATGCAGCTTGCACAGTGACTAAACAATTAAATGAGGACTGATGGTTTGGCTCATGTGATCACTCTTTCTTCTCTACTCATGAAATACTTGCTGAGCAATTCCAGCATTATGAATGCGACATTTGCAGTAAAAACTCATAAATGTAAAGCATAAATTTAGAGAAATTATATGTGTTAACATTGTATTGAGACATCTGTTAATATTTTCTAAAACTACCACCACAGAGTTATGGGATCAGAAAAATTTCAATCAGTTAACATTTTTTAGATTTTAAATAAGAAAAATAAAAATGTGTTATGGATGCAGGGTCACTACAGCTTCCAACAAATCCAATTGAAGACTTTTTAAGACCATCAAAGATGAAATTTCAGACTTACATAGGGCTAAACGCTAAGGGTTTTTTAATGGCCCAGCAGAAAAAAATACTTTCGCCATCAAAAGACTTTTTTTAATTAATAATTTCTTACCCAAATAATGTGTCAAAACAAACAGACCCTAGTTGTAAACATACTATTTTTTCCAACATAACTTAAAAAAACTTTAAAAACTTCAATAACCTAAGTGTACAACAGTTATATTATTAGTTAAATTTTATTAGGCAGCACGGTGGCACAGTGGTTAGCGTTGTCGCCTCACAGCAAGAAGGTCGTTGGTTTGAGCCCCAGCAGGTTCAGTTGGCGTTTCTGTGCGGGTTTTGCATGTTCTCCCCATGTCCATGTGGGTTTCCTCTAGGTGCTCGGGTTTCCACCCACAGTCCAAAGACAAGCGCTATAGGTGAATTGGGGAAGACAATTTGTCTGTAGTATATGTGTGTATGTCCTGGTCCTGCAGGTTGGGGGTTGAGCATTGGACTAATGACCCATCTCGTAAAAATTAGATGTTAAGAAACACCAACATGGTGCAGCTAGATATTAACGGCCGTGGGAGGAAGTAAAAGTTTTATTGAGATGGATTGTTGGTGATTGGATGTCTGTTCTATCAACTGGGTAGCTTAACAAAAGCAAAGGAAAATCAAGACCCGTTTAAATTGATTTAAGACCTACAAGACAATATTTCAGTGAATTTAAGACTTTTTAAGGCCTACATTTTTTTTTTAAATTTAAGACTTTTTAAGACCACAACCTTAAAAGACACAATGCTAATCACAAGGATAAAAGTCGGCTCACTATAGAACAAACATAATTGATTTCATTTAATTTTCTATTTTTCCGTTCATGAGGAAAAGGATTTGTTATGGATGTGACAGATATGAAATTGTCACTTGTGTGACTTTGGCAAATCAAATTAATTTAGATAAATTTAGATCATTTAGATAAAACTATTTTAAAGTACTAAAAAAATACTTGCTTATTAAAAAATATATAAATAAATAATAAATTAATTAATTAAAACGGTTTTGCTATTTTAATATTTTGGCTATTTTTTATCTTGGCCAGGTTGACATTTCCATGGGATTGCTCTGTCTTTTCTCAATAAGCACAAGACAAATGCTTATTGTCTGTTTATTTGTGTTGTTTCTTTGGCTCAACAGGAATTCCTCTACGTTAGAGGAAATCATACCTGAACAAAGAAAGCCCCATCTAAGGCCTGCTGTAAGTCCTCATGACTGCTGAGTCGACTCAACTGCTCTGTGGCACTGAGGTTTCCTCTGAGCATTTTGGCTTGTTGAAGCTCCTCAAGCTGTTTCCTGGTCACACAAACCCAACCTTCAGCTTAACATTCAATGACATACAAATCCTCCCAAAAAAACAGGTCTGTCCAAGTAAATCATGTTCCAAAGATGATTTATAATTGAAAAGCCATCTGTTGCAGGTGCAGTTGTGTTATTGTGTATACTAAATTACACTCTTCAATATTTGCTCAGAAAGTCTGCATGAAATCAAAATTTACAATCACAAATGAAAATTATTTTGCTAGCACACATTTTTAGTCTTAACGTGAACAATTAATCTGTGTAAATAAATCCACTGAAAGGAATAAATGTCTGTGATGGTACTCTTTAATCAAAATCTGACCATTTGCTTTGGTTTTGAAATGGCAGTTCTTCTCTGATGTCAGTTTGACAGCTTGGGTGAAATACGTTTAGCTACGCCCCTCCAAGCCTTAGCTGCACAAAAATAAATCCCCGCCTCCTACTCTATATTACTTATGAGCTGGAAAGACATCATTAAACTGTAATAAAAGTCTGCAGCAACTTCCAATTCACACAGACTTTAGATGAAGCAGCTCTGTATGCATTACAGAAAATTATTGTTTAGTGTGGCCTAATCTATTATTACTGGATTATATTCAGGGCATGTACATTAGTGGTTCTCAACAGGAGGCTTCAGCAGACTTTCAAGTTGTCCTCAGGATGACTGAAGTGAATTTAATTTCATAAAGTAATTAAATTAATCAATAAATAATGAAAACAAGCAGATTCATATAAATTGAAATGCTAAGAATAAACACATAACATTCAAAGCATAAAATTTTTCATTTGCTGCAATATTGTTGGTTTTAGAGAAACCCATAACTCCAGGGATCGCAATTGAGTTTATTTTACATTTTAATGATTGTTTCTCATCATTTAAAATGAACCATGTTGAAGAGTTCAATTCACACAGTATCTTCCAGGGGTTTGTAAACATGGTTCTGAATGTCTGTATATTGGTGGTGTACACAAATGTGTTAGCACATTTACGTAGAGAGAGAAAGAGAGAGGAGGGGTTCTAGTATTGTGTTTGCAATCTTTAAGCCAATGTGGTTGAGATCTGAAGTCATATGCAGCAGACAGAAAACCCTACAACTCCCTCTGGTGACAGAGGAGCTGAATTAGGAAGTTTTATTGAACTACTAATATAAACAAAGAATTTAAAGAAAACTTATATTTGGTCATATTTTTATTAATTTTATTTATTTATTTATTTACTTATTTATTTATTTATTTATTTATATGTCAATCCCTAACTTGACATTTGTTTATTTATAGTGCCTTCAAACTATCTTTAAAAGAGATTGCTCTAAGATGTAAATAAGAGAGAATATCGAGAGCATATTAAATTAAATAAGCCAATATAAATTGAGAATGAGAGGGTAATTAAAAAATAAAGAGTAAGTAGTTATATCTCCAAGAGATGGGTTGCGGCTGGAATGGCATTCACTGCGTTAAAAAGTGCTGGATAAGTTGGCGGTTCATTCCGCTGTGGCGGCCCCGGATTAATAAAGGGACTAAGCCGACATGAAAATGAATGAATGAATGAGGAGTTATATTTTCTTTCCTGTTTTACTACTGACCTGATCTCTGCGATAGCCCCTGATGCCTGTCCTGGTTTGTTGTCATAGAGTTTGACCTTGTAACCTCCACTCAGGAAAACCATAGCCCAGGAGCGGCCAATCAGACCGCTTTATGCCACATACATATAAAGAGGGGAAAAAGTATAAGTGTGTCAAAAAGAAGTAGACATCAAGCTCAATGCATTAGCTGTACATATTCAAATGAGAAACATGACTTAAACAGAAACTTAAATTTAGTGCATGAACACAAACATGAAGTCAAAAGTTTAAAGCATGAAAAGTACTATATAAAAACCATAAACGTCTATATAAACCTAGCAAAAATGTGCATTATAAGCACAATATCACATGTTCATTTTAATTTGATTATAAATGATTGCACTTTTTATTTCCCACATGCACTACTCTGATATGGTGTTAATGAATGGTGTATTACTCCATCACAGCAGAGTTCAAAGACCGCTCAGCTTTTCTGTTTGTGTTAGACAATCACGTCTGCACAGTCTGACAGGCTCATTTAAGTTAGCTCTTACCTTCCGACAACAGTGATGATCTTTTCTTTTAATGAACTCATTGCAGTCTCGTTCACAAACGTCAAAACACAGTCGGTTGGTTGGTTCCCAGGAGCCCCCAAATCAGCAGACCTCAGACTGTCATGTGCATGAGGAATAGGCGGAGCTACGGCGCCTCACACGCGCCAAAAAGCATCAGGACTTTTACAGAAGGACAATCCATGTTTTTTTTTCGCAGCAGACGTTCATGTTTATACATTTTTTAGAAATGCAATACTGAAAGACAGTTTAAGGAAGACAGAAATATAGCTGGTGCTACAACGAAAAGCAAAACGGTAAAACCGCTCATGTGTAGTCTATCGTTGTCCATCTTTGTATCCTAGCAACCGATGTGTTGCTCAGAGTCAGATTAGTTAGCAGGCTGCATCTGCTGCTGCTGGGCCAAGGACGCGGTTTTTGGGAGTATTTCTGTTTAATAAGGCTATCAATTATCACTTTCCTCGGTAAGGACACTATCCTGTTAACCACGCATGTTGAGTAAATAAATTATATTACGCAGATGCTGGCATTTATGTTTTAAGGGAAAATGTGTGATAGGGTCGCGAACTAACGTTAGCCATGTAACTTAAACAGAACGTTGAACGTTACGTTAATTTGTGACAGAAAAAAAGTTAACGTATTTTTAATGATGTTTAAAATTCGTAATATTGCTTCTTTATTTTCTTGTTGTATACATGTCCTCGCTTGTTCAAGTGTTTTTGATGCCACTGACCCTTAACTTAAATATGATCATTCTTGTGCCTCCATCGTAACGTTAGCTTCTTTTGTAAAGACATAAATTATATTCTGGAATTAAACAATATTACAAATGGATATGAAATCTGAAAAATGTTTTATACTTGAGTAAAACATTTTATGACTTGATATGTTTATACTTAAGTCAAAGAGCTTAGAATGAGATTATATGCTCTTTGCTTAAGTAAAATAAAAATCCTACTCGTTTTAGTGCTGTATTTATTCATTTTGCATTTTTATTTACTTAATCAAAATGTCATCATTATACATTTTTAAACAGATTTACATTTCTTTATTAACCACTTTTTGTATAACATTTAAATCATATTTGTATATTCATTATTTAAGAATTGTTCACATTTTTAGGATATTTTTAAATTATTCAATAATTAATTTGTTTCTTTTATATTGTTCATTTATTTTATGAACTTTTTTTTTACAAATATTTTATATATATATATATATATATATATATATATATATATATATATATATATATATATATATATATATATATATATTGTATGTTTTAGTCTAATATTATTTACTGCCATCATGAAAAAGATAAAATAAATCAGTTATAAGAGATGAATAATTAAAACTATTATGCTTAGAAATGTGCTGAAAAAAGCATCTCTCAGATAAAAAGAAAATTGAGAAAAAAAAACAGGGGGCTAATAATGCTGACTTCAACTGTGTGTGTGTGTGTGTGTGTGTGTGTGTGTGTGTGTGTGTGTGTGTGTGTGTGTGTGTGTGTGTGTGTGTGTGTGTGTGTGTGTGTATGTATATATATATATATTTTTTTTTTTTTTAGATGGAGAATGTGCATCTTGTCCCAGAGGAAGAGGAGGATGATTTGTATACAGGCTACAATGATTACAATCCCACTTTTGACTCAGAGGTGCGTAAATACTTCTGCCAATTTGACATGCATTTGATCAACTTCATCATTTGCTTTTATTGTGATTTTTTTTTTCCTGTCCTCGCAGGACCTTCACAATGATGTGGCCTTCCAGCAGGCTGTCAGGACAAGTCATGGCAGGAGACCCCCAGTGAGTCATTTTGCATCTGCTGTTAAAGTTGCTGACTAAGGGCAAGCACACCCGCACATGATTATTAAAAAAACACTAATTTTATTTACTGATTATTTTTAGATGACAGCAAAATATCCTGGCACTGCTATTGGAGGGCGACCGATTGGTACAGCTTATGGGGTGAGTGGAGTTGGATTTGGATTTTCACTATTACTATTTTTGACAAAAAGTAAAATATCTTAATTTTTTTTGCAAATATGTATTGAGTGTATTGATACAAATACAGCATCTGTGTAATGCTCTTTTTTAATATATGTCTATTTAAAAAAGATACGGTAATAGATTTCTTGTTGATATGATGATTTTAATCGTGAATAGAATGATTGTTTAAGTTTTTTTATCAGTAAACATAATTCATTTAACTGAAATCACGCATTTCATTACATAGTATTATTTCATGTTTTAGTGAAGGACTTTGTTTTTCTCAAATGTCTTTATATTTTTGGTGTTATTTTTCCAGTCTCGAGTGCCTATTGGCACTGCAATGGGACGGCCAATGACTGGAGCTGTTCAGGTTGGATTTAAAAAATTGTATTTATTTATTATTTTTACAGATGTCACATGCAATGAAATTCTATTAATTTTTGGTGTTTTGTGTGATGTATAGGATGGTGCAGCTCGTCCCATGACTGCCGTTCGGGCCGCAGGATATTCTTCATCAATAGCTAGAGGTACTTTCACAACTTTGAAAACTTGTTTCTGCCACAGAAAAGACAATTGCAAATTAAGTTTACATTTTTACATTTTATATTTTCCCTCTCAGAATTGATATATTTTCACAAGTTATAAACTCATAATTGCTTAGTTAACGTCTCACAAATTATTACACTAATGAATTTTACAGTTCTTTTTTATTTCTTCAGATTGTTTATAACACAAAATATGGTCTTCTAAAATCAAATTGTAATCCTTAAATAAAATTAAAATGTATTTTTTTAACATATTTATCTAAAACTATAGATAAATCTATAAACTTGTTAATACTAGGCAAAATGTATCAACTTTTATCGACTTGCAATGAATGTTGAAAAATATCAGTATCAAGGATGTCCAAAATAGGATACTGTATGTTCCTTCACATCTTCAGGCTCTGCGTTTGATCCACTGGGACAGGCAAAAGGACCGGCTCCTCCATTAGAGACAAAGAATGAAGACACGTATGCCTTCACATCTTTATTCATCAGATCTCACTTTACATCTTTAGTTTGAACATTTTCTGTGATTTTATTGTTTGTTTTCTTGCTCAGTCCAGAGGAAAAGATAAAGATCCTGGAAAAGAAGGTGAATGATTTGATAGAGGATAGCTGTCTTGCTCATGCACGTGGAGATCTTCAGGTGGTGGGTATAGCTCGGAAACAGTTCTTTGACCTTTTAGAATGAATATTTAGATGTTGGGTTATTAGTTAATTTATTTATTTACAGTCTCTAGAGAAAGCCAAAGAAGCAGGCAGGAAGGAAAGAGCTTTGGTGAGACAGAGAGAACAAACAGGCACTGCAGACCACATCAATCTGGATCTGACATACTCTGTGAGTTCATTGCAGAAAACAAAAATGTTTTATTGAAAATTCTTGCTGAAAAGTCTTTTATGCATTGTACAGGTGCTGTTTAATTTAGCAAATCAGTATGCCAACAATGACATGTACACCGAGGCCTTGAACACTTACCAAGTCATTGTGAAGAACAAAATGTTCAATAATGCAGGTGAGCGAGTTTTTAAGGCAAGACACCTCAGGCTCAAACACTGTTTTCTCTTGCACCTGTCAGTTTTGAGATTTTGGCCTTTTTGGCTTTTCATGAAGTGTTTATTCAGTATAATGTAAATGATACATGTTCAGTTGTTTCTTTTGTAGCACTTAATCAGTTTGCATCTGTAGATTTTAATTCTAAAAGATGTTTTCAATAGCTGAGTTCTTAATGTATGCTTTTCTCTAACAAAATGCAAAATCATTTCATGAAAATATTTTGTACATTTCTTACTTTAAATATATCACAACTTTTTGATTAGTAATGTGCATTGCTAAAAACTTAATTTGGACATGCTTAAAGGTGAGTTTTCTTAGTATTAAGATTTTTGGAACCATCAGGTTCCAGATTTGAATGCATATTTATTCAGCTTTCAGATTATGTCTCAATATCCAATTATTTGCACTTTTGACTGGATTCATGGTGCAGGATTGCCTATTTTGAGTGTTTTAAAAGTGATATGCTCATTTAAAAATCTCTAATCGTATAAACATTTTACTGAACAAATGTTGTAAAAATGTTTGCAGTATTTTTGTTTTTTAATTATGTAGTGATAAACTTTCCCAAATCCCCTAGGCATCCAATTAAATGCCAAATTTTAAACCCGACTCCCAATGTAAAGATTTATTTACTATAAATGTATGCAAATTAGTGCATATAACGCCTCATTTGCTAATTACAACATTTTAGATGAGCCATGTTTGAAGTTCTTAATAAACCAGTCAGTGTCTTGGATTAAACTTCCTTTGAACTAACTCTATTCACTTCACTTTAACATAACTGTGTTCTAATGTTCGATTGTAATCATTTTTGTCTACTACAGGGCGATTAAAAGTGAACATGGCAAATATATATTTCAAGCAAAAGAACTATACAAAGGCTATTAAATTTTATCGCATGGCTTTGGATCAGATTTCAAATGCCCACAATGCAATGAGGTTGGTACTTTAGTGCATTTGTTTTATAAACTATATGTGTGTTGCAGATTGTGATAAGTGATTTTATTTCTTTATTCTGTAGGATAAAGATCATGCAGAACATTGGAGTTGTGTTCATACACATGGGCCAGTACTCAGACGCCATCACATCCTTTGAGTACATCATGACTGAGAGCCCTAACATAAAGACAGGTTTCAACCTCATCCTGTGCTACTATGCCATTGGAGACCGTGAGAGGATGAAGAAAGCTTTTCAAAAACTCATTTGTGTGCCCCTTGGAGTTGACGATGATGACAAGTATATCCCACCTAATGTGAGCGTTTTGGTAAAATGCTCCTTAGTTATACCTGTAAAATAATTCATGCCTTAATTTTGTATATTTTTTTACAGGACGACCCTCATGCAAACATGGTGATTGAAGCTATAAAGAATGATAAGCTTCACCAAATGGAAAGAGAGAGGTATTATAATGTACCAAAGCTTCTTTTTGATTTATAATGTAGCTTGGTATTTATTATTCTACATTTGTAAATATTTAATTTCAGTGTATACAAATTTCATTCGCTTTTTTCCCTAGGAAAGCACTTGCTGAAAAATATATTATGACCTCAGCCAAACTCATTGCTCCAGCAATCGAGATGTCATTTGCAGCTGGGTTTGACTGGTAAACTTAGAATTTATGTCTATTCATTTCGCTTTTTCTTTTGAAAAGGAAGAATGCATCAAATTGAAATACACATTTTTATATTAATGCATGTATTAATAAATAAATATTGTAAATGAATATATATATATATATATATATATATATATTATTTATTTATTTATTTATTTATTTATTTTTTACTTCAAACAAATCTGAAATAATGTATCATGTTTTGACCAAAAATTTTAAGCAACTTCATTTAACATTGGTATTAATAAAGTGTTCATGAGCACCAATTTATCCCATTCAAAAATTTTTTAATAAAGAGTGGAGGATTCTGAAAATTCATAAAAATTAAATTTAAATATTTATTTTATTTTGCATAAATGCAATCATATAAAATCTTTATGCAGTGCACAGATTCAACAAGCATGACATTCCTTGAAAAATCTTTATGTGGAATGTATTTTTAGTCTTTGCAATGTATTTGTAAGCTAAGATATTTTCATCCTGTAGCTAAATATGTTACTTTTCCAGGTGTGTGGACATGGTGAAGGGTTCCCAATACGTGGAGCTTGCAAATGACTTGGAGATCAATAAAGCCATTACCTACCTAAGACAGAGAGACTTCAAACAGGTAGAAGGGCCCCTGGAGACACACTCAAAACTTTGTTACATTTGACATATTACCACAGAACAGAGCAATGTGACTCTTATGTCTGTGGGGAACCCTTGTTTCTGTCTTTAACACTTTTCACATTCAATCGTCCTTTTTATTTTGTTTTCTTGCCTGTCCGTCTGCATGACTCTTGAGGCTGAGGTATGTTTATGTTGGAGAGAATGTGTGTGTGTGTGTATGCATTAGTCTATTTGTATTTGTGTACTGCTGATATTAAGTTGCATTGCATTGCTTTCTCATGTAGCTGCAAATGTAGTGTGATGAAACTAAAGTAGATAGTAAGACATCTATCTGTCACTACAAGCTCAGTGAATTCGTTTATTAACATCGTCTCGTTTGTTTACAGGCAGTTGAGACGCTAAAGATGTTTGAGAAGAAGGACAGTCGAGTAAAAAGTGCAGCTGCCACTAATCTTTCTTTTCTTTATTTTTTGGTGAGTTGACCTGTTGCTGTATTTATGCCTTTTGTGTTAAAGGGATAGTTCACCAAAAATTACAATTCTTTTGTTTGAAAATAGGAATAATTTTTTTATTATTTTTGTCTCTTTTTCTTTGAATCAAACAATTATTTGTATTGGTCATGTAGGGGGCATATATTAACTGAACTTCTACTATTGTGTGTAAGATGCTATGCATACTAATTAGCATTTTTGCAGAAGTAGATAAATGCTGGTCCAAAATTAAATTCAGCTCTGCAGAAACTTCCTGCCTGAAGAAAGGTGTTAAAACTGAACACAGAACACAAAAAGTTTTGTGCTTTTATTGAAAAACTCTATTAAAAGAGGACTTATGTCTGGGGTGCGGCCAATGGAGGACTTAACAATGATTGACATGACGAATTTCACTAAACTCCACCTGTTAATATCAGCTCCCTATATAAGTTGGTCAGGAAAAGAAAGTTGTTGCGCACCTCCTTAAAGTAACTTTTGCATTGCATAGATGATAACAGAATTCTGTGAATCAAATTATTCATTTGTATCCAATAAATTGTTACAATTTTTTGACCTTTTTTCTTGAACACGCATTGAATTGATTGAAAATTTCAACACTTTCATCGATTTTTTTTTTCGTTCTGATTGTTTCAACACAAAAACTAAATTGGTGAAAACAAAAGAAGATATTTTAAAGAATGTTAAAAACTGATTGTCAATGCATTCTATAGAAAGAAATAAAAGTTATGTGTAAGTATATGTAATGGCTGCCAGTTTACAAATATATGTTTTTGTATTATTTTTGGGTGAGCTATTCCTTTAATAAGATCCTCACAGATACCATCTTGATTTAATGTATATGTTTGTTCTCTAGGAAAAAGATTTTGACCAGGCTGACCGCTATGCAGAGCTGGCCATGAGCGCTGACCGCTACAACCCCGCAGCCCTCATTAACAAAGGCAACACGTTGTTTGTGAAGGAGGACTATGAGAAAGCAGCAGAGTTTTACAAGGAGTCTCTTCGTAATGACTCATCCTGCACTGAAGCACTCTACAACTTAGGTCTGATATCAGAAACATGACATCCCAAGGGGTTACACCGCATGAGATCCTTGCTACATTCAAAACTATTATTAATCTCTTTATCATCATGCAGGTTTGACGTATAAGAGGCTGGGTAGACTGGAGGAAGCTCTGGATTGTTTTCTCAAACTGCATGCCATCCTCAGAAACAGTGCTCAGGTCATGTACCAGCTGGCTAATCTGTATCCTTCCTTAAAATGTTACCATCACTATTAAATAAAAGCCTGTTATATAGTTACTTTCCAGTATGTAATTTGCCAATAAATGGCCTGACTTAAGAGGGAGAATTATAGTGTATGTTTATTTGTTTGGTAAGAGTCAATATTCCTGAAGCAGCTTTAGATATGAGATGTTGGAGGACCCTCATCAGGCCATCGAGTGGCTAATGCAGCTCACCAGTGTGACCCCTACAGATGCACAGGTGCTGGCCAAACTCGGAGACCTCTATGACAATGAAGGAGACAAATCTCAGGCCTTTCAGTATTATTATGAGGTAAACAAAAAATATATTCCCCTAAACCAACCACTGAATGGTTCAGTCTCATAGTTTAATCTCAAGTGATTTGGACATAAGGTTCTGCTAAATGACTAAATGAATGTAAAAGCAGGAGTAGAAACAGTTGAATTAAAAATAGTGATTCATTGAAATGTTAAATGTCATTCATATGAAATACAAAAATATTAAAGGGATAGTTGACCCAAAAATGAAAATCTACCGACTATTCACTCGGCTTTAAGTGGTTCTAAACCTGTTTCTTTGTTCTGTTCACAAAAGAATATGTTTTGATAAAAAATGTTGGAAACCTGTAATTACCGAATCCCATAGTAGGAAAAACAAATATGCGAATCAACTGTTACTGCTTTCCAACATTTTTAAAACATTTTGTGTTCAACAGGGAAAAATCACAGTTTTGTTACAAGTGAAGGGTGAGTAAATGATGTCAGAGTTTTCAGTTTTTGATGAACAATCCCTTTAATAAATCTCAAATTATTGAATGTAATAATTTAAGACATGTCAAGTAATTCATTGTAAATATCAATCATTTACATTTTTAACTGCAAACAGAGACTTGTAAAACTGCCTGTTTGTTAATTTAATAAGTTTGTTTCAATTATTTAAAAAAAAAAAGTGTAGTCCGAGCCATTGTTTGATTTTATTTTCCCCGTTCTGTGTTTATCTCTGACAAAATCTTTAAAATTTGGTATTAGAAAAAGAGAGAGACCTTCAAAACTATTTGCTGACATTTAAAAAAAAAAAAATTTTAACTTTAAGTTTATATGTAAAAGCTGCTCTGTGTCTGCTAAAATTCACTATAAATACATAATGTTGCATATAAGCCAGAGAAAACGTATACCTCTTTAGCCCTATTGTTAAAGTATGCAGTTATAATTGCAGTTTAAATGCGTTCTGAGCTGGATCAAACAGCCTGTGTAAAGACACCCAAATGCTACATCTGAGCCCCGTTTTAAGTATAAGTTGGGAATTTAAGAAACCATGTAACACAGTCAAGTTGAAGCTGCTCTGTGTCTGCTCAAAATTCATGATACGGACATAATGCTGCATAAAACCTGTTTAAATTATGCCTGCTCTGCCACTAGTATTAGTTGTAATTGCTGTGTAAATCCTTTTATTCCAACTTTCAGCATGATTATACACTGTAAAGCTTCTGTGCTATCTTTGTTTTTAAATATGGCAGTATTAAGATATGCCAAGATATTGAGATCACAGTATTGTAAATGATCAAAAACTGTTGTTAAAAGATTTTGAAAGAGGAAACGGGAAATTTTATTGAAATAATGCTGTTTATTTCAGTCGTACAGGTATTTTCCCTCAAACATTAGTGTCATTGAGTGGTTGGGTGCATATTACATCGACACCCAGTTCTGTGAGAAAGCAATTCAGTACTTTGAGAGAGCTACCCTAATTCAGTAAGTGGCTAAACTTCATATCTATTTACATGAATATTCTGCCTGGATCTGGAGATATATTCTTGATTTTTGTTGAATTTCAGGCCAACACAGGTGAAGTGGCAGCTTATGGTGGCCAGCTGTTACAGGAGAAGTGGTATGAGGTTAGATGTAATGACAATAATAAGAAAGTTCCATCTCAGTGCCATCAATTTTGTCACATTTATTTGTTTCAGGGAATTATCAGAAGGCACTTGAGACCTACAAGGAGATCCATCGCAAATTTCCTGAAAATGTTGAATGTAATGAGCTCAATGTTTACTTTGTTTTGATATTCAGTGCCCATCTCTTGACTTTACATCTCATATCTTTTTTTATTGTCGAGAAGGTTTGCGATTCCTGGTCCGGCTTTGCACAGATATGGGACTAAAAGAGGTGCAGGACTACGCCACCAAACTCAAGAAAGTTGAAAAAATGAAGGAGATCAGAGAGCAGGTACACGGTTTGGTCTTCCTGCAGTTTATATGCTGGCCTCTTCTGTGTCCTTAAATGGAAGAAAATAGGAGTAAAAGAGAAGAGTGAAGAAAAAACACATATAGCTGTCTAGAGGGATAATTCACAGTCTCTAAATCAAGTGTGTAGAGTTTCAATGTTTAGAATATAGGACTACAAGAAAAAGGAGATGAGCTGGATTTCTTTTTCTATTGGACACCCATGAATAACAATTGAGGAAGCTGTGTGTTGTTCTGGATATGGGTCAAAAAAATTGTCGCCCCATTTTGTTGACTGTATTAAAAAACATTTATATGCATAAAGCTTATATTTTGACCCTGGACCACAAAATCAGTTGTAAGGGTAAATTTTTGGCAGTTAAACTGTATAAACCATCTGAAAGCTAAGTAAAGCTTTCCGTTGATGTATGGTTTGTTAGGATTTTTCAATATGTGAGTGAAATATGATTCCAAAAAAATCTAAATATTGAGAAGATCACCTTTAAAGTTGTCCAAATGAAACTCTTGGCGATGTATATTAACAAAAGTTTAGTTTTAGTTTTTTCTGGGGAAGGTATAGATGTTTTGTGGAATACGTTGTGGTTAGGTTAGGGTCTAGGATTATCTCTCTTGATTGCCCAAGAATCATTTCTCCTTAGGGAGACCAAGAAAAAAATGCTAAAGAAGCAAAGATACTTACAGTAGGAAATTTACTAAATATTATGTTAGTTATACATAATACAATACATTTAATTTAGGCTATTTCTATAAATAGACCTGTGCAACAGTTATATGTTGTTGCCCAGGGTCACATATTAAATGTGAGAAATGTCTGCTTTAACATTTCAAAGAACTTTTGGTGAAACAAAGATGAAATAATTTTCCATAATTATTCAGTGTAGTCTTTACAAATGCGCAGTTAAATGGTTAATTATGATAGTTATATATGATAGTTGTTATAATTATTTTGCTTTGTATTTAAATTAACTGTGTATTTAAAATCTAACATGTATTTGAACTTGCACTCAACTTTTGTTTGGATGCTTGATAGCTGCTTTTCATCTTTGACCAATAAGTGAATACAGAGGTGTAGAAACGGGCCATATTTGACATCATGCTGTTATTGACACACACAGAGGGTGAGGTCTGGAAGGGATAGCAGTGCTCGAAGCCGCAGGGAAGGTAGCGCTGGCAGTGGTGAGTAAAGTTTTGACTCGTCAAATACCCTATGAAATGAAAAACTGCTCATTATTAACTGAATACATGCTTATTACTTTACTTTTTTCCACCAACCTCAACCTGTCATCTGCCTCTCTTGGTAAACAGGAAATACTTCAAACCTTACACACACTCCCCCTAAAAAAGCCAGTGGTATGACTGTAATTCCCTTAATACTGTGACTCCATGTGGACGAATTTAGCGGATTACTATTAGTCAAGTGATGTGATTTATTTATCTAATTGTTTCTAAAACCGATAGTGCTTAGATATTTTTCCTTTAGGTCTACAATAATTCACGATTTAGGCATTTAAATCCAACAATTCCCTTTTGGATTTTGTGATTATGATTTCATTTAGTGTTGTAGTAAAACTATTTTTGTGACTCTTAACTCCTGTTGGACATCAGATGTGGATCTGGCATCAGGTGATGTTGAGTTTTTAGCTTCAGCCATTGTTGGGTTTAAAGCTCTTCTGCTGTTAGCCTCATTCTGCATCTTACTGCTCTCTTCTTCCATCACTTCCTTTTCTTATTGTCAAACACATTAGGGAGTGCTTCAAGCTAAAAAAGCAAAGTGGTGTGATCGCTTCCTGTTTTATGTATCAGAATAAAGCAGACATGATATGAATCACAATCACGAATGTGGTTGCTTGTAGAAGGATATAGTTTCTTGGAAAACAAATCAATATTCATCATATTAAGACAAAGTCTTAAATTTGCATTTATTTGATCGAAGTGGCTGTAATACAGTAATATTATCAAATGCAATTTAAATAACCGATTTCTATATTCATATTAAAAACAATTCTGTGAGGACAAAGCTGAACTGTCAGTAGGGATGCAACAATTAACCGGTTTCACTATTAACTGCGCTTTAATCTGTCACGGTTAATTAATCGTAAAGACCTCTCAACGCTGCGTTACTACACGGAACAATACTGCAGCAAATAAATTACTAATAAAAATTTCAGAGCCTGTACTTCGAGACTATGTGACAGGGAGCTTTTGTGACCATGTAAAATGCAAATGGCTGAAGTCTGAGAAGGACGCAATGAAGCTTGCGGCTTATGATCGAACAATATTGTGCGGATAATCATTGCAAGAATCCTGCTCTGCCCCACTTATATATTGCGTCGGCTGGGCTGACTCGCCTGCTTTTCCACAAACACAGAAAAATGAAAATCGGTGCATAACGAGACTGAGCATTTGAAATGACACAAACCGAAACCAAAACTTTTAAAGAGTGATGGAAGTGACTTTTCTTGCTTTCTTTTGTCCGTTCTTTTTGTTTATTAAATGGACACCAAAAACAATAGTGTAAAATGGAGATTTCTTACTGCAGCGCTTCATTTTTGTTTGATGCAAACCGCAGATTAATTTTTTATAATGTAACAGTATAGGACTTGTCATAGCAGATAACTCGCATTCAAACACATTCAGGCAGCATGATAATATTAAATGTAATTCATTGTTAGTATTTTTGTCATCGTCTTCATCGCTAATATTTTAAAATTGTTAGACATTCATTTTGGAATTATTGAACAAATGTCAAAAAGTCATCACAGCATTAATAAGACAGTTGTTTCTGGTTTTTCTTAGTCATTTATGTTTTCAAATACAATAAATCTGTTAATATACAATTTGCATAAAAATTTTTTATTTCAAACCCTGCATTAGACACATACATTTTTTTATTTTATTTATTTATTTATTTATTGTTCTGTCATTTATTTTGAGTGTAAAATTATTACTTATGTTTAAATGTCATAATGTCACTTATTTTTAAGTGTATAATAAATAACACTTCAAAATATAAGGAGCTTTCATGTGATCTTGTAAACTAGTAGTGTTTCGAAATTAATGAATGCATAATATTGTGATAACCGTTAAAGCGTGATTATTCCTCAGAGAATAATCATACAACCAAAATCTACAATTGTTGCATCCCTAGCTCTCAGTCAGCGTTTATAAATCATTCTGTTAAATGTATTAGATATATTAGATAACACAGATGCTTGAGAAACATTCTTTTTTTTTTACCAGTGCTAAAAAAACTTTTTTATCATTCATTAAATCAGTATAATGTTAAAAATAACAATTACTAAATTACTTTTGATCAAACTGTGTGCTTGCTGTATAAAAGTAATAATTATATTTAAATAATATATAATATAAAAAATTATATTAAATAATATAAAAAATAATAAAATAATAAATAATTATATAAAGATAATATAGTAGAATATAAAAATAATAATTAAAAATGTAATTAAAATAATATAAAAATTAAATAATAATTATAATATATATATAAATGAGCAATATCACACAAGTAGCAGTGCGATATGGCTGTATATTGGCACTGGTGGGAGGCGTGCATTGGCACGAGGCCGCAGGCCAAGTGCATCAGTGCCCCCACCAGTGCTGATATACAGCCATATCGCACTGCAACGAGTGTGATATTGCGTTTATACAGCAATTTGACATTTGGCATAATTGTGTATATAAAAACAAAATCAAACATGGAGAGTCTCAAAAACCCTTTTGTATGAGGAACTACTTTCTTCCGGATTCAAATCATAAGCTGACAGTTAAACAGTTGAACGTGCATCTTTTAAACTTTAGATCTGTAGTGTCTGGTTTTTGCTAGCTATATGTGGGCGGAGTAATACACAAAGGGTGAAGAGGCTGTAGGAGTTCTGATATTGCAGTTTGTCGCACAGCTATCAGCCAATCAGATATGAGAACCAGACAGAACTGTTGTGTATATATATATATGTGTGTGTGTGTGTGTGTATATATATATATATATATATATATATATATATATTGTAATCTTTCCAGTCAGATAAAACACATTTACAGAATTTTGGCAGCAATTTGACCACTGAATTTCTTCCTCATTTTTTTCAGTTTATATGGTAATCATCTTCTTCTTTTTGTTAGTAATCTGTAATTGTCTTCATGGTTTATCTCTGTTATTCTGTTCATGGCTGTGCGCCTGAAAGGGAGCAGTTCGAGCCCCATCAATACCCCTCCTCTGAGAGCCAGTGGTATGACCCGCACACACTACTGAAATCAGCATTCGCTCCAACACTACAAAACAAGCATGCCATTGCATTCTGCTCATCAATACACTGCTGCAGCTTCACCATTGCAGAGCTTTACTACAAATGCCATTCATTCCTCACATTCTGCTCATAACTCAACTCCATACACAATGCTGTGCATCTGACATATTAATTATAAGAAATCTCTCATTGTTGCATGGTGCAACTTCATTTGTAGGCCTAATTCAGCTTTCCCACTGTCTCTTCAGAACTCTGTCTTGTTTTTCCTTTCTTCTCTCTGCAGTTTCTCGCTCTGAAGTTAAGTATAGTCCTGTGCTGGAGCAGAGCAGAGGTATGTACTGTATTTAACAGTGCAGTTCAGGTTTTCAATCCTCTGGATGGTTAAAAAACAAAGATGGCATTAGATTTGATTTGATAGTTTGCAAAAACTGAAAATTTAACTGAAAACTTATTTAAAATGTTGGTGTTTTATTTCTTCAGTCACCATTAAAGAAGAGTTGAACACACTTTACAGTAGGATTTCATTAGTTATTGATTTTACTAATGGACTAATAATGAACAATATTTGTACAGCATTTTTTAATCATACTTTAACATTTACTAATGCATTATTAAAATGCTAATTCATGGTAAAGGTGAGTTAACAATGAACAACTTTATTTTCATGAACTAACGTTAATAAAGATGAATAAATGCTGTTATACATGTACTGATGTATGTGTAAAAAATTTCAAATAATTAATACAACCTTATTGTAAAGATTTGGGAAGAATTTCACGTCAACCGGCAAGTTATAGGTGCAGTAGGTGATCTGCCTAAATGCTAACCGGTTAGCATAATATCTTTGAACATCCAAAGCCACGCCTCCTGATATCATGAACGTGCACCTTAAAGATAAGAGTAGACAACCCACTAGACCGTCATTCGCCAGTTAGAAAACTTTTTAGTACTTTATAATACTACAATTCCAAATGATAAACTGTAATATATCTAGCACATTTTCAGTTGTGTAGCAAGCAAAACATCATAATGTGCAATATTTCATTTATGCAAGGATTTCTGGTCTCTCTCTCTCATGCGCCTTGTCCTAAAGCAACTACTGTATGCTTAGTGGTTGGCCAGTGGGGTGCAGGAATTACACTTATTACTAAGCTATAATTGCATGCTATTCCAGACTGAATATTCAGAGTAGCATGGTAAACAATACAGGGAGCGCATCACAGGCTGTCATTGTTATAAAATGAACAAATGTGACGTGAATAAAAAAGCAACTTTAGCTCATTAAAGCAAGCTAGGCAGAATAACGCTATTTAATGATGTTTTGGTGTTAAACTAAATAAAAATCTACATTATTGATGCTGTAAAAGGTCACATCAAGCTTTGCCGTAAGTGGCTGAACAGCACTTCTGTGCATATAACCCATTCGTAAAACAACAAAACCTACATCAGCTTTGCGTGATTAAAAGAGTTTTAAAAAAGAACATTAGCTGTCTAATAGAAATACTTCAGCCATGGTGTCATCCTTTGTGCAAAAGTAACTCCAATATTGATTTGTATTTACTTTACTCATTACTATTGGAATGTGAAGACTATTATTAAGACAATATTGATTTAGGATTTTGATATTTTGATTTAGCATTTGTTTTTACTGTTGTCACTCTTTCTTGTGTGCCCATGTCATGAACGCGGCACAAATGGCAGATCTGTCTGTGTGAATGATAGACAGATGTACAAATCTACATTTGTTGACAGACAGTTTGGGCTACCTACCAGAATTATGGGAATTGTCGACCCGACAAATTTTAATTGGATAAACATTTTTTAGTTTTATGCCTTACCCAGAAAATAAAAATACATTTAAATACATTTAGATCATTTACTTTAATTAGTACTATTGAAATGTGGAGACTTTCAACCAGTACAAGAAATGCTTCTCAAGACAATCAGCTACTGCACCTTTAACTGTAAAATCATCAAACAAACAGTACAGACAAAATTAACTTAATTCAATGGCCCCCAATATTAAAAAAGGCCTTATGAAGTCAAATAATCAGTCATATATTGAAAGTTGTACGGAAGACAGATTGTCATGCTTTGCAAAATCTCAGTGTTACATTAGGATCTACAAATACGTATATATTTTGACCTCTTTTAGTATTCAAAGCCATATATATATATATATATATATATTTTTGACTCTCAAAATGAGTAATGTTACCACTGACTAATATTTTTATAAATCATCTAAGGTTTCACTCATTTTCCTTTGGCTTAGTCCCTGATCTATCAGGAGTCACCACAGTGGAATGAGCTGCCAATTACTCTGGCATATGTTTTATGCATTGGGTGCTCTTCCATCCACAACATAGCACTGATAGTACCCTAACCCGTGAACCCCTAGTGCTAGGAAACACGCATACACTCTCTTATTCACACATGCACACTCGTATACTTTCAAATGGAAAATGTCAAGGTGTCATATGTCAAAATGTTGTTTTAATGCCTGCTGTGTTTTCCGTAATGATACAGAACCCAAGGACTTAATTCTATCACAGCACAATAGAAGGCAAACATGTGCTGTAAAAGCCTGACAATGTCTTTTCTGCCAAAACCACTATATCCAGGGAATATCCAGCTCTCAATGCTTGACAGAGAGTTTCCAGCACCTTCTTTCTGTTTGCAAAGCACTGAGTGCAAATAAACCAGTGAAATATTTCACAAGTAGACTCCTGAACAACACTTTCCTGCTATTAGAGCGCTTGATCTCAACATTTTCCTACAGGACTGTTGTTATGTCACATTAAAGATGTTTTAAATGAAAATGTAAAGTATTCTGAGGCAGTGTAAAACCTTTTTTAACTTGCGTTTTATTCTGACAAGATTCCTCAGGTGGATGCGGTAGGGAAAACTACCGAATGTCAGCAAAAGATGTTTCATTTAATACCTTTGAGTTTTGTTTCTGGGACGTTTAAAGATCCCACTCCTACCTGCCTGCCAGACTCCAGTCTCACATCTGCTGAGATGTGACTCACAGGCGAGATGTGAAATACAGATGTGTGCTGCTTTTGATTATGGAAGTCATTTGGTTTCAGAGTCCGATCACTTTAATTAGGATTCTAGTGTCACATTGCCTTTGCTGCAAGTGAAAGCCGGGCCTGTTGCTGTTCATGCCTTCTTTTTTGTTGTTTGTTTACCGACGTTCTAACACTTATTTTTTTACATTTTTAGCATGGCTTTACGTTATTGATGATGTGAATGACCAGACACTACTGTGAAAATTCTCACTCCAGAAATATTTACTAGTCCAACATTGTCTCTCTTGGCTGTGTTTTCTCAGACAGTGGACAGAGCAACCATGGCACCAGCGCCAAGAGTGAGAGGCTTAGCGTTAAACTGAAAACTCTTCCAGGATCCAATGAGCCGTATGAAGCCAGTACTCAACAGGAAATAGGTCAGAAACAACAGTTTGTCATCTTTTTATTGAAGATCACCTTTTTTAAGTCTTGCCAAAAAAAAGTGATTAATACTTTACCGGTCAAAAGATAAATTATGATTGCATTTTCATAATCAAATAAGGTTTAATCTATACTCAAGTTTTCTTCATTCGGAAGAATGCTTCATATTCTTGGCCAGGCCTGTCATTCTTAAAAGCACCCAATGTATTTTTCATTTTAGATGCTTCTTATGTCGATCCATTGGGGCCTCAAACACAGAGGCCAAAAACTGCAGCAAGGAAACGCAATGAGGAGGATGAGTTTGCTGATGAAGAGCTGGGAGATGATTTACTGCCTGAGTGAGGAGAGCAGCAGGAGTCCAGTGGAAACAATGATCCATCTTTAGAAAGTGCTTTCGTCTTCATTGTCAGCTTAAACAACAGTACGGTAGCTTAAAAAATACTTTCATTTCAATATGCTGAACTATATTTGATCAGAGAAGGCATTATCTTTATATAATTCTATTTAAGAAATACACTACTCATCCTGAATTATTTATTTCATCTGTTAGTTGTATTGTAAAGATATAAACCTTTGTATGACTGAATTGTGAAATATTAAAAAGAATGGTTGTAGAGATTTTTACTCAGCATCTAATCTCTTAATATATAAAAGGGAAATTATGGTTTTTGGCTTCAGCTCGAGCTGATGGGGATCTTTCTTCAGTATCAAACAGTCCGCCCAGTGTGTGGAGTCGAGTATCCTGATCGCATTTACGGGACAGACGGATGAGGCACTGCTTTACGCAACAATTGGGAAGTTTATGTGGGTCGGTTTGAGCTCTCTACAGGTCTGCTTTTACTCAAGCAACAGTCGCTTCGTCACACTAAAGAGACTTTAGACGCTGTGTGAACTGAAATGCGCGCTCCAGTTGTGTCGACGCTTGTTCTAGTCTGGCTGTGGTGCTGCGGGAGCGCGCCGGGTGAACGGGGACAGAAGGTGTCCAGGAGAGCGCCGAGGACTCGCTCGTGTCTAGATTTACCGGAGGAGATTTTGGAGCAGATGTTCGGGAGGCTCTCGGTCGGGGTACTGAGCGCGTTTCATCACACTCTGCAGCTTGCGACTCCGGAGCGCCAGAATCTGAGCTGTGGATCAGCGTCCCGCTTGGCGCGCGACAGACCGCGAACACCGGTCAATCTGCTCAGCCTTTCTCCTTGGGCGTACAGGTAACCGTAAACAACGGGAACAAGACTGTAAAACTAAATAATTTCATGATTCTGCTTAATTGAGAGCGGTTAGCTTTTCAGAACTTAAGAAATTAGAACTTGTTCAAACTCTATAGTTATCTACAAACATATTCATTTAAATACGAATGTTTAGTTGTACTGGCTTTAAAAGGGATGTTCACCCAAAATGATTATTTACTATTATTTTGCTTAGTTGAAGTTACAGCTGAGGTGACTTGCTTTCTTACATAAAATAATATTCATCGAGTCAACAGGTACAGGTGTGCCGAGAAACGCACCCCTGTCGCAAAATGCACCCTCATACTCATTAGCATCCTCTGTCTATTTTTTTAAATCAAGGCCACAATTCATTTAAAACGTAAAACGGTTGTTTTGATGGATAAAGCAAGAATAAGTGAAACGCATTTTAAAACGCGCTATATTACATTTACAAATGTAAAATAACATTGACTTGACTTGGCTTTTTGGTGGGTTTTAAACAAAGTTGTTGCTGTTTTAAACTGAACCACACAGTAAACAATTTAATTCATCTCATTGGTATTGTATTTAAAGTAAATATTTATTTATTTATAAATCTTCTGTAAGGGAAGGGTTCCATTTCATGAAACTCACTTCAGTCTCTCAGTGTCATCACTCTATTATTTATCAATTTCATGTAATAGATGCACATTTCAGAGGGGGAGCATTTTTTGGCTGAAATTTTGGGTGAAATATGCCTTTAACACTCATTGCTCCTCAAAAAAACTGAAGGGATATCTCACCCCAAAATTAAAAATGTACTCTCTGCGCTTCTAAACTGTTATGAAATTCATTCTTCTATTGAACACAAAACAAGAAGCGCAGCAGCCATTGACTTTCAACGCATATTTTTGTTCCTACAATGAAAGTCAGTGACTGCTTTTTTTTTTAACATTCTTGAGTATATCTTCCTTTATGTTCAACAGAAGAAATATACACAGTTTAGAATGTGTGGAGGGGGATTAAATGATAAAATTTTTTATTTTGGGTGAACTACCCTTTAACGAATCATCTTTGAAAGTAACTCTTTTTCATTGCTGTTGATCCAAGAATCTCCCATGATCCAGCGAGGTACCCTCGATATCTCCCAGAGGCGTACTGTTTGTGTAAGGGATGCCTGAGCGGTCTGAACGGTGAGGAAAGTGACCGCTTCCGCAGCACTCCAGTCTACATGCCGACTGTCATACTGCGCCGCACCGTGGGCCCTTGTGTGGGAGGCCGTCATTCCTACACAGAGAGCTATGTGTCCATCGCTGTGGGCTGTACTTGTGTGCCATTGTTGGAAAAAGACAGTAAAATACAGAAAAGCAAGCCAAGTGTGAGGAGAGTCGCTTCCAAAAACACAGTCTCCAGCACCTTCAGGAAGAATGAACTCAACTGATCATTTTAACATTTTTTTGTGGAGTAATTCATTTTAAAGAATTTTCCTCCACAGTTTTTGCTCTCACCAACCGAAAGAAAACTTCAGACAGAACTTGGCACTCAAGACTAGAATCTGCAGCTGTGAGGGCAAGCGAAAGGAAAACTTTTAGTGCCAAAACACAAACATTTACTAATCCAAAGTTGGGAAAAGTCAGTCATCATCATGCTGTTAAATAATACAGTATATCTGAGCACAAGTGTACAGCGGATCACCACACACACATTTCTTTTAAAGCCAAGCATGAGTGCTACAATAATAGATATCATTTACACACTAGAGCATATTATTCAGCTTGACTTTTTGTCGGCCCTTTTATGACTGCTTTATTTTAAACAGCATAGGTAACATAAGTCTAGTGTATGGTAGATTATATACAAATACTTTAAGCCCATGTTATGCTCTGACTCCAATGATTTCCAATGCTTCAGTTTTGTGACTGAATGTTTTTTAAATATGTGCTCAGCTGACAAAGCAAGTCAGCCAACGCATAATCAAAGACTGATCACAGATCTCTGATGAAGAGCCAATTTCTGCGCTGTGATCTCTGGGTCCTGCTATTCTCCAGTTGGAGTGAGAGGATTTATTGTCCCAAATAATCATCTGCTAATGTTCAATAGAGAAAACAGGGCTCAAATGATGTCCGTCTGAAAGATTTTCATGAGAGAAGCCTTGATTCATAGTTAACATAACAGCGGAACTCATTGGCAAGATTATGATTGTGTTTTGGTAAAAAACTGCACATCTTCAGATCCAGAAGTTTCCCAGCATGCTCCTCCATGATGGCTCCTGCAGTGTAAAGGTTTGAATGAGGATCAGAGACAGATACAATGTATCCAGTAAGTATTCATACAGTAGGCTTCATAGACCTTTTTCCAAAATGGATTAAATTCATTTATTTCCTCAAAATTCTACACACAATACCCCATAATGACAATGCGAAAAAAACGAGTTTTTGAAATTGTTGCAAATTTATTAAAAATAAAAAGCTGAATAATCACATGTACAATACAGGCCTGATTTGTTGATTGCTGCACAGATTGTCCTTCTGTAAGGTTCTCCACTCTCCACAGGAGAAAGCTGGAGCTCAGACAGAGTGACCATCAGGTTATTGATCACCTTCCTGACAAAGGCTCTTCTCCCCTGATCACTCAGCTTAGATGGCCAGCCAGCTCTAGGTAAAGTCCTGGTGGTTGCAAACATCTTCCACTTACCGATGATGGAGGCCACTGTGCTCATTAGAACTTTTAGAGCAGCAGAAATTTTTCTGTAACCTTCCTCAGCCTTGTGTCTCGAGACAATCCTGCCTCAGTGCATGTCAAAGGAATTGTCTGTAGACCGCTGTCAACCCTGGGACCTTATATAGACAGGTGAATGCCTTTTCAAATCATGTCTAAATCTAAACCTAATTTACCACAGGTAAACTCCAATTAAGCTGCTGAAACATCTCAAGAATGATCAGTGGAAACAGAATGTACCTGAGCTCAATTTAGAGCTTCACGGCAAAGGCTGTGAATTCTTACTGTATGTACATGTGTTTTTTTTTTTTAATTTGCAACAATTAAAAAAAAAACTCTTTTTTTTTTCACATTGTCATTATGGGGGATTGTGTGTAGAATTTTGAGGAAATAAATTAATTTAATCCATTTTGTAATAAGGCTATAACATAAAAAAACAGACAGACACAGATAGTTAGATAGTTAGATAGATAGATAGATAGATAGATAGATAGATAGATAGATAGATAGATAGATAGATAGACAGACAGACAGACAGACAGACAGACAAGCACTTGCCTGTACAGAGCAGGATTTTGCCTTTTGTGAGGTGTTTAACGGTGAGTGTGACCTTGCTGAGACACTCCTCTGACAGGTACGGTGGATCTGCGATGACGATGTCAAAGCTCTGAGGAAGCAGATCCTCAGGCAGACACAGAGGATTGTTGTAATCGTAAAAAACAAACTCGTCTCCATACGCTGCGAAACGCCTGTCAAACTCCAGCAAAACAGCAGACACACCTTCTGACCGCACAGACTCCAGCTGCTTCAGCTTCTGATACACACTCGGTGCACTTAAGCAGGCGATCCTGCCACACACAGACATAAGAAATGAAGACTCGTATTTAGAAACAATGTGCTTAATTGTAAAGATGACTTCAATTTCAAGTAAATGCTGTACTTTCTTTTTTGAGATTAATTGTTTCTTCAAAATATTCAACTGTTTTTAACAGTGCTGATAATGAGAATATAAAAGCACCAAATTATTGCAGAACTAGAAGACTTAATTGTGATAGTGAAGGATTGTTATAGGATCAAGCCTTTTTAAAATGCATTAAAATAGAAACATTCATTTCAGATTATAATCATTTGACAGTGTGAATTATTTTCATGTTTTGCAGTATTTTAGGTTGTGTTAATGCAGCAGTAGTGAGCATAAGTTACTTTAAAACATCTAAGAGCAATATAGAGCACAAAACCCCATTACCTTAGTGTGTTTGTACAGGCATGAACAATTTCATTCAAAAACAAGTCATCTGTGCCCCAAGACCACAAAACAATCTATAAGGTTTGATTTTTGTAAATTTATCATCTGAAAGGCTAAAAAAAATAACCGGACAATGTTTGGCCAAAAGTATCTATTTGTAAATCTGGAATCTGAGGGTAAACAAAAGCGAAATGTAGAGAAAATGACCTTTAAATATTTTAGCCATGCTTATACCCATTCAAAATGTACATTTTAATAAATTTACAGCAGGAAATTCACAACATGTTTTCATGAAACATGAGCTCTACTTAATATTCAAATAAGTTTTAGCATAAAAGAAAAATGTATATTTTTGCCTCATGCAATGTACTTTTGACTGTTCCTTTAATTATAGCTGTAATTTACAAAATATATACCAGCAGCAATTTACAGGACTCAAATCAAACACTAATATTTGGAAGAAGAAA